GCGACCCACGATCCCCGCTAGAAGCACGCCTCGCGTTCAAATCGATACCGCGCCCTTCGGCGTCTGCCGTCCAAGACGGTAGCTATGACGTTGCTTTGTCCTGCTTTCTTTATTCTCTGGCGACTCGCAGTGGCCAATGCCGCTTTGGATGCCGTGTTGCATCACGCTCTTTGTCTCCCGCCACATGCCCTTCGAGGCCTCAACATGGGTATCCCCCGAGCTAAGCGATATAAAAGCGAATATACCTTGGTCTCAAGACCTACAGAGTCACTCACCTCTCTCGCACGATGCAAGCAGGAAACGCCTCCGCCCTTCCCCCTACCGACTGCTCCCCTACTCCCGACGCGCTTGAGCGTGTTCTCCTCTCTGACTCTGACGACATAGGGACGTCGCAACCTTCGCCAGCCGCCGACGTCCCTCCTCTGTATGACGTCCCCGTCAAGGTTATCGACAGTCAATATCAGGGCACGCTGCTCGCGCTCTCAGCCAACTACCTGGAGATTGCGTCCAGGCTCTCGACTCTAGGCTGCGTCACGGACGCTGATGCGCAACTGCTTCGCAAGTACTCGGATGATTTCAAGTTGCTCGCAAGGTGGATACCTCCTTACCTGCCATCATCTGACTTTGACTAACCCGTCGATCCCCAGGCTGGATTCCGAACAACCTTCTGGACAACTATCGGTGGAGTTCCCCTCCTTGGCTTCCTACCACGTCCTCGCGTTTGCCGTACTTCTATGCTACTCGCCAGGCGTAGTGTATGACGTGTGGTCGGACGGCGAAGCGTCGATAGCGTGTGTCTTGATATGGTTGAAGAACGTCGCCCAGGTAATCTACTGGAACGTGATACCGACGACGCCGCTATCCCCAGTCGAGAACATGGACTTCTTCATGTCATGCGCCGGCACGTTTGAGATATTCGCCCCTTTTATGAAGTGGCGCGACGGCTGTTACGAGTTCGGCGGTCTCGAGGCTGGCAAGTTTGTTCTACTTGTCGAGCTGGGGAAGATGATTAACCTTTTTGTGTGCAGATGACTCTGGCGAGTCCTGGCGTTTTCCGCAATCTCGCCGAAGCGACGATGGGCAATCCTCTCACGGTATCTCGGGTTCGTCTTCGGATGAGCGGTCGCCTTCACCTTCAATCGACCACGCGGCGTCACGTTGCGAGAGACTGACCCTCTCGTCGAGCGTTCACGCTCTTCGCTTTGACTCTGACACTGGGTCTTACTCCGTAGATGCCAATTTCTACTCAGTCAACAATAACGTCGTGTCCATCCGTCTTTCTGACGCTCTCCCGTCGCGGGCGCCTCCCGTCGAGCAAAATTATGTCATTCTCCCGTTGGGCGATCGGACTCACCTCTCATGGCGCCAGACTATTGGCATGTTCATCAGCGGTGCTCTCCTCAGTCAGACGAGTGATGGTGAGCTCACTCGCTCTCTTACAGTTGCTTCCACCTGACATACTAGTAGCACCCTCCAACCGCAAGTTATGGGTTCTCGAGTCATTTCCACCTGATTATGTTCTCGCGCGTCGCACAAGGCGTACTCGCAAGAAGGATGGCACAGAGAAGAGCCGCACAGACGTTTACCTATATGGTATGTTGGACAGTCTCTTCTACTTCGCCAAAACCAACTGACATGGACTGGGACTAGGCGGCAAGTCACGCTTTGCATCACCTGCAGAGTTCGCAGCGCACGCGATATGGCTGATGCGCGGCGCCATTGCTGGCGATTGCGCGTGTAAACACTGCTCAAACGCCTCTCAAGAGACCATCACCGCCACCTTGGAGGAGCTTCTCAAGTCTGTATCTAGCTACTCGCGAGGTAGTGGAGGCACCAGGCGTAGGGCTAGCTGGAACGGACAAACGCGGGAGACTGCCGAAGTGAACACGACTGATGCCCAGGTCAGACGCAGACTCAGTGTCTGATACTAATCCTTTTTGATGTACTTTTATCCAACCATGTCTCCCCAATGTACACTGCTCGCTGGCTATCTTCCATTCTGAAATATCATGCTGAATTACTTATGCTGTATTTCCGTGATGGTCCGAGTGTTGAGCGCGCACCTATGAAGTTGGACGAAGATAGTCGCCTGAGAAGCCGACACACTCGTGTACGAGTCCTGAACTTGGCTGCGGTCATGATCCGTTGCTCTTCACTTCTCTCCCGATCATAATTTTTGAGGGACGTGACAACAGGTGTCTAGATGCAGAAGTTAAACACACGTGATCGCGAGCTACTCGTGGCATCCCGCGCGCTACTCAACACCGACGTGTTCCTAGGTGCGCTCATGCTCAAGGTGGCCCTTGCGCGCGAGTCTCGCGTAGTTGGTGGTAGTACACTCATCGCGGTGGTACTACAAGTGCAATGGCGGCGTAGTCCATCTCGTCTCAATATCCGCCTTCATCCGCAAGCCGTCTGCCGGTGGCCTCACCACTCTTGCCGCGAGCACTCCTGCTACCCAGTTTCGATAGTCCTGGTCTGCTGTCGACCTTGAATTACTGCGCGCGATAGCTTCTGCGCAAGTGCGCTCCGGGCTCGTCCGCAGGCTTGCGATAGAAGGTGACCGAAACACCGTCCATGAATTTTACAGCCCTCGCTTGGTCGAGTAGGCTGTGTCGCCGGTTTAGTACCCTTTCTGCGCTCGTTTACGATACATGTTACGGGACAACGTTGGTGACGTACGGGACCTTGGTGCAAGCCAAAGGATTACGAAGCCCAGTCGCTTTCGCGGTGCACAAGGACGTGTCGGAATCGGAGACACACGGAGCGGTAACTCCTGCTCTAAGTATACCACCTACGCATGTTGCTGTCATATAGTAATAATGCCACGAGCTACCTGCTGGGTTAGACCGTCGTAAAAGCCCGTCACTCGGCCGAAGCTCCTGAACGAGATATTGAGCTTCAGCCGCGAAACCGACCTGGCTCTTAGGGAGGCCCAAGGGCGGAGCCTACGACGTGGTTACGGCTACGACGTGCAGTAGCGCGCGTAAGCAATGTTGTCTTGACGCAAATTGGACAGGTAGTCAGGTAGTGTAGCCCGGTTTGTCTTTCTACCTCAACTCGGGGTGTGCCGTTCCATTTGGAAACAAGTACACCCTGTCCACGCGTACGAGCCGGCTGATGAACGATCCACATTGTACGCCGTCACTCGCGGGAACGGTGAAGTAGGAGGGCATCGGTGCGCACCCGGCAGGGCCGTAAACGGACAAGATAGCGAAGACCTCAAGCGAAGGGTCACATCGAAGTGTCTGTGGAGGGCCTATACTATGCATTAGCCACGGCGGTCAGGAGTGAGGAAGCTCGACGCCGCGAACTGGGCGCGGTTCGGGCGTGACAGGGGGGGGGAATACATTTATATACCGCATCACGTAACTACGACAAATAGCGGTTAGAAACCACTGCACGTAGCCCATTTTTCGAAAGGTTTGTATGAGAGGGAGTATATGAGATATCGTAGGAGGAGTTGTACTGAAGGGAATCGCGCGGTATATTACAGTGTGCATGAGGTACCGTAGATAGAAATAGCATAGTAGACATGATAGGCACAGGGGAATGGCATAGACTCAACGAAATCAACGCAGGTTCGGGTCCTTAGGGCTCATTGACGGACTCGGGGGAAGACTTCGCGAAAGCGCGCGAGGTGGCGATGAACTTGGCAAGAGCCTCCAGGCCACTGTGAGTACCAGGGATGATCGCGGAGGATATGTTGAGCAAGACTGCGCGGAGTGAATGTCTTTCACACTCGTACAAAGGGCAATCTGCGAGGATGTGCTCGCGGGTTTGGACGGGTGCCTCGCCAGTCGGGCAAGCCGTAGCTTCGGTTGGAACGAAGCACGCGTAGTAATCGCCGCGGAAGCCGTGAGCGATGATTGTTTGAATGATGCGTGCATGAACGTCGCGCGGTCCAAAGAAATGTTTGTTGGAGGATGAGAGGGTAATTGATGGTGGCACGTCGCCGAGCGCAACCGCGGCGAGATCGGTGTGAGGGTGGGTTGACCATTCGTGGCGCAACTCGCGAACGGCTGAACGCTTGATCCAAGCAGCATAACGTAGCCTGAGACTCGAACGTCTTCTCCTCGACAACGGCGTCTGGTGCCCGTTTCGGCACAGTGTTCGCAGCGCTCGTCGCCCCACGGTCGCTGCCCTTGGGTTTTCCGTCAAAGCCGCATGACCCACGAATGACGAGCGTGCTCTGGTTCTCGAAGATGACTTTGCTAGAGTGCTAGCCCTTGGTCGTGACGATGGCAGTGCCGGCCGCGGCCTTGCCCTGATCGAGCACCTCCAACAAGCGCGCCATATTGACGAGCTCGGCAGTCGTCGGAATCGGGCCCTTGATGGAGAGGTACTGTTCGCTGTGCAAGAGCTTCACGGGGTTGAAGTTGGGCAGGAAGTCGAGAGGCAGTGAGCTGCTGGCGGGGAACTGTGGGATGACGCCGAACGTGGGCAATGCTGAGAGGTCTTCGTGGTTTTCGAACGTCCATTGGAGCTCCTTCTGTCGCGCCGATGCCGAGGTTGTAGAGGATCACGTCGCGCTCGGTGTAGTTGAACTCTGTGGGCTCAGGAATTCCTTTCTTCGCGTCGCGGACGAGCTAGGAGTCTTCGGGGTCTTCGTGCGGGAATGAGGAAGATGAGAAGTCTTTTTCGCCGCCTTCGTTGTTGAAGTTGGCAACGAGAGGCTCCATGCCCTCCTGTGCGGATACAGGGTTTGATGAGCGGTCGTCGTCTGTAGACCAGTCGTCAGCAAAACAACTTTAGAACATGAGAAGACGGATGAACACATCGAAGTTGGTGATCTTCGCCCACTTCTCCTTGATCGCCTCGGGCGTGAGCGCCTTCTTAATAGAGAAACCATGCCCGCCAGCAAGCTGCCAGCGAACCTGCGCAGCCCGACCGCCCGAGACCTTGAACAGCCCACGAGTCGTCTCGTTCTCCTCACTCGTAAGATACCCAACGACAGGTGCGACAACGTCGGGCTTGAATGCATTGACCATCTCCTTCGGCCAGACCGTCATAGTCATAGCTGTACCAGCGGACGGCGCAATGGCGTTAGCGAGGATGTTGTACTTCGCGCCCTCGATCGCGAGCGTGCGTGTCAGGCCGATGATAGCTGCTTTCGCGGTCGTGTAGTTCGTTTGCCCGGAGTTGTAGTCTGTGAGGTCGCCAGTCAGCTTCTATTCCCCGGGCAAGGAGGATAGCGTGCACGCACAGATTCCATCGCCGGAAGGAGTCGTCACGATACGGCCGTACTTCTGCTTCTGGAAGATGGGCCATACGACCTTCGCACACTGTGCAAACGAGTTGGATTAGCGTGCTCCATGAGCATAAGATAGGATGTGGGTGCTAATGTATTCTGTATGTTCCGCGCAGTTGGACAGCGATGGCGGCGTCCCATTCGGCTTCGATCATGGCAGTGTAGGACTTGTCGCGAAGGATATCGACGTTTGCAATGAGGATGTGAACGCCGCCGAAGGCGTCGAGAGCCGCTTTCACGATAGCTTCGCCATCTTCTGCAGAGCAAACGGCTGCAACAGCCTTGCCACCAGCTATTATCGATCGTCAGAACTAGAGACGTGCTGGAAGAATCTGAGACACGTACCCTGCTTGACCTCGTCGACAGCCGCAGCGGCAGCGTCCTTCTCGCTTACATCGTTAACAACGACGTTCGCGCCAAGACAAGCGTGCATGAGCACATAGACGCGTCCCGGACCGGCTCCTGCACCAGTAACGAGTGCGGTCTTGCCGTCGAAGCGAGTCTCGGGCGTAGCCTGCTCGTTCGGCTTCATGTTCTTGGTCTTCTCGAGTTTCTCGATGATGTTGCCATCCTGCATACTCTGCGGGCTACAACCATCGTATCAGCTTAGGCATTCGTAGTTGCAACGGTTTCCGTAGATTCGTACTGGTCGGGGTTGGTGAAGTGCGTGACCTCTTCCTAGCGTGCCTTGGCGGCGCTAGGCGTGAACAAAGCGTCGGTCTTGAGGATGGCGCTTTGACTACGTTCCCAGAGAATCTTAGAGACGTATCCAGCACCGAGAACGAAGGCGCGGTTGTTCGCGTCGACGCCCTCCGGGTGTGTGACGAGTGCTACGAGTGGTGCGACGTATTCGGGCTTGAAGTGCTCAAGCATTTCTGACGGCATGATTGTTGCGGTCATTGCTGAGGCGGCAATCTACCCCATTACCAGTTGGTGCGGTTCGATGTGAAGATATGTAAATACGTACGGGTGCGATGGCAGTGGAGAAGATGTTGTACTATGCTCCTTCGCGTGCGAGGGTCTTGGTGAATGCGGCAAGACCCATCTTCGCTGCACTGTAGTTCGCCTGACCGAAGTTGCATACATTGTATGAGCACACTCTGAGACACGCTAGGAAGGGAAGGACAAGCGCACCGAAGATACCTGCTGCGCTCGCAGTGTTGACGATACGATCAAACATCTGCTTGCGGAAGATGGGCCATGCAGCCTTAGTGCAAGCGAATGCGCCCTTGAGGTGCACCTCCTGGATCTGGTCCCACTCCTTGTCGGTCATGTTCTTGAAGCTACGATGAGACTCAGCCTTCGGAAATGTTATATATACTGAGTAGATGACTCGTACCCCTTATCCCGCAAGATTCCGGCATTGTAGACGAGGATGGTGACGGTGCCGAAGGCGTCGACAACGGCCTTGATGACTGCCGCGCCATCCGTTACAGACCCGATCTGTGCGACGGCGCTTCCGCCGCCTATTGCACCGTCAGCACTGTATATATTGTGGGGGACATTCGGATACATAATCTCGTCTACGATACCTTGTGCAGCATTAGCGTTGAAGTCGTTCACCACGACATTCGCGCCGCGCGAACCAAATACAAGACAATATCTACCCCGCAGTCAATTCAACTTTCACACCCAAGAGAAGCGAGCGAACGCACGCCTTGCCGAGGCCTTCACCAGCGCCGGTGACTACGACGGTATGGCCCTTGAATGAGAGCGACATGGTGGGATGAGTTGAGGAGAAGAAATGCGGGGTTGCGCGCTCGACGCGCCGACGTAGACATTCGGGTTCGTGGGCGCCGCATGTGATATTGTTGAACGAATGAGAGGCGCACCGCGTGTCTGCGCCTCGCTTCGCTTCCTCATCTGCCCGTTCGTTCCCCTGTATGCCCTTATATCCCGGAACGCACATGATCTCAACTTGAGACTCTACGTGCCGAGATAAGAACCGGTCAATGAAGTGTCTGAAAATGATGGAAGCGGATTGGTAGGTATGGATATTCCGTGACGCGACCTGGTTGTCCGCAGCGAATGTAATGCGACGTGGAGGGAGCGATGTCCACTGCAAACGTGGCACCATGCAGCACGCGCCCACATCTCAGCGTCATAGACACTGGCTCGCCGTTCCAAACACCGCTTTCCCGCGCGGATTTCCTGACCATTGCGGAACACCACAAATCCAGCACCCGTGCGTCGGTGCCTGCGACCGTCGACCCGCCGATGCGAGCTGTCTTTAAAGACGACTATTGTCCGCGGGTCGCGCGAGAAATCGTCGATGCGTGCACGGAGGTGCACGGACGTCGCGTACGGTTCGGGCGTGAGAGCAAGCCCCGAGGCGCGCGACTGCGCGACTGTGCTCGCCACCGACCACCATCACCCAGTCTACCGTATGCCATGATGATTCCAGACGCCAGTATCGTCTTGTCAGATAGTCATACCCCTCCATCTTTTGTCAGCAACGCCTTTTTGCGTTGATGTAAACTCACATACGTTTCCAACTTTGTGTCTATACTTCTTACTCTGCTCTATTCAGTACACTCTGGATCTGCCATCTGTCCTTTCGCCTCTCCGCACTATCGTATCCTCATTACTAAATGTCTCCGTGGCCGTAGCGACTCTGCATTGGAACACCACCTAGTATATCTCCGGCGGCCGTACCCTACGTCTGCTTGGTTTGCTCGTTGTACGTTGCCATGCAGTGCTTTCGCCAGTGTGCCTTCGGGCTTCTAATAGCTTCTCTGCATGATCTAGGACATTTGTCTCTCCTTTGACTTCCATCGAAGTCACCCCATCTCGTCGACTCGCCTGGATCGACGACAACAACATCCGCCACGGCGGGAACTGCATCGACGGAATAAACTATCTCAACACCTCTTCTAATACAGCACATGTTCACCGGTGGTCCCGTCTGTTTGCGAGCGCAACCCTCATCCAATTGCCTGATCAGCCCTGCGCCTGAAGGCCCGACCTCTCGTTGATGGTCCGCTCTTCTTGCAGCGTCTACCTCTCGCTCTTCTTGAACTTGCTGTTGCAACTAGAAAAGCTCCATGTACCCACCTGCCAGCAGCGACATGACGAGACCGTTTGTAAAGAGTTCGCGGACGATAACCGTCGGAAATCCGCTCGACTACCTCTACAGCCCTCGCTTCGTTGATAGGAGTACGGTGACGTTACGACACTCGGCAACTGCGCTCGTCTCTGGCGAATGCCACGAGAGACTTAGACTATGTGAAAGACTAATTCATACCTACGCTTGGCACAAATTTGCGATCGGAGAGGCGGTGCGGAGTGTACTTTACCTACACATGAATTGGTCGGCACCACGTACACCATAGTATGGAGACGAACCCACTGAATGACAAAGCTTGCGCTGTATGGTCTCAATCCAGGGATCGCACATAATCTTCCGGGTCATCCTCCATCCTTAGAGGACCTTGGGCGAGGTGGTAGATGACTTTGTGGGACTCATAGTGCTCATGCAAGTCAGTAATCTGTTTGACACCCGCTTCCGAAACGACATGATAAAACTTCATTGTCTCGGTATGCGCCGAAGTCTGATTCATATTGGCCGAACCTGACTCTAACAATCATGATTTTCGATTGCGTTTGCTGCCCGCATGAGCAATTCGGGAAAATCTGCTTTGGGCTATCGGTTCTATACTTTCTCTTCGTCAGCATGCTTTCCAGCTACTTTCAGGACGATAGTCTCGCGGACCGTCAAGCTGGGGTGTGTATCACTTGGTGACTACCTCAGTCGGCGCCCAACATCGCAAATACTGTAACTGACAACTTCGCAGACCGCGCGACGCATGGTATTGGACGATACGCACCGGTCCTTGTATCCTCATCCTGTCAATGGCGATGATCCAACACCTCCCGAAGCTTTCTTGGACCAGACTCCTTCCCGAAGCCCTCGAGTGATTACCCAAGACGCTCTCGGTAGCGACTTGGAGAAAGCGCTCGTGGGCGGTGGGAAGGAGTCTATTCTTTGGACGCTGCAATCGAAGACGAAATCCCGATTAGCCGATCGGCCCGCCAAGGGAGAAGCTCTTCAAGCAGCTTTCCATCTGGCTCGGGAAAGCTTCAGTGTTGGGGCGCGAAGCGCCCCGGTGTTCGCACGGGAGACCGTGCATGATTCAGCGGGCTGAGCGCGCCTAAGGCGCTCTCCTTTCTTACGCGCCGGTTCGATGGCTTCACACTTATGCGCTGGTCATACGAACCAAGTCTAGCTGGGCTACGAGGGTACGTAGTGCAGTGTTGGCTGCTAGTTCGCTTGGTTTGAGCCCGCGGGGCCGAAAACGCGGTCAGATGACCTTCCGTTCAGACGCGCCGCACACAAATGCCTCGCGTATCGCGGATGTGTGCGCGCGCTCTGGGCCCGCGGACTCGGACAGCCGCACGAGCAGAAGCCGAGTGACCGAACCCTTCTAGGGTTGGCCACCCGAGCAACCACCACGCGAAGCGTCATTCAATTTTCCTCGTCGGAAAAGGGTGGTGGGTGGGATAAAAAAGGTGCGCGACGAGGCCTGCGTGCTCGTCGTGGTGAGAAGAAAATTCGCTCTCGGCTTTCCCCGAGGCCGCGTCTGTCTCTTCTTGCTAGCCTCGTGCTAGCAACCGTAACCTCGATGCTCTAGTTCTAGAATCGCGGCCTCTCTCGCGGCGATTCCCGACTCTTTCCGAGTTTCCCTTGGCCTCCCGGAAGCGGCCACTCGTACCTCGCATCCGCGTGCGTACAACCACCTTGGCCTTAGCACCCCGGTGTCGGAAACGGGAGTGAGCCGGCTGAGCAATGCAAAGGAATGCCGTAGTTCTGCAAGCTTTACAGTACGCCGTCAAAGCCGTCTCGTTACGACCGCTCGACAGCGTGCACGGGGACTGCCGGAAGTTCAGACTACGTCACGCCACATGCCAGAGTCTACTGTATGAATGTGGGTTGTACTTGGGCCGTAGTAAGTTACTCCAAATCGAGTTACCTACTGACCGGTGATTTATGGGAAGTTTACACCATCGATACGTAATAGTTGCTTGGCGCAGCGGGTCTGCACTTGCGTGACGACTCTTCTTGAACTCTCACTACCGCCTGGGCGCCTACTGTCGTAGAACACCCCGCCTCCACAGGAAGCTGACGGTCACGATGCATGGATTCAGAGTGGCCATTCTTGGAGGTACGCTCACCTAAATGGCATATAAATGTCGCTGATGAAGCTCTGCTTGCTACAGCTGGCGGAACTGGCAAATCCGCTCTCGCCATACGTTTCGTGTTCGACGAGTTTGTGAGTAGGTTTGACCCTACAATTGAAGGTGCGTGATCCTCAGCATTTGTAGGGGTCCGTGGCTGATAGCGCAAGCTAGATACGTACAGGAAACTGGTTTCTATAGACGGCGAAACGTCCATGGTGCGTTACTTCATCAATCAGTGTCGCATTAAGATGTCGAACAGGGCCTCATTGGGCTATCTTTACAGGTCGACGTTCTGGATACAGCAGGTTACGGGCAATTTCGAGCGTCGGTAAAGTCCTACATCGCTGTCCGCTCCGTGTTCGTTGATTATTGCCTGTCTCAAACTCATGCGCCGCAAATCACAGGAATCTCACGGGCTCATCGTTGTCTTTAGGTAAGTCGTATATACCTCCCATACCTCCTGCGCGCTAACTGCTGGGCAGTCTTACCGATGCGTCTTCCCTACGTGACGTAGAAACTCTGCTACAAGAAATTTATGACCTGCGGCGGAATGATGCTGTAAGAGGAGTCGTAAATCATCGTATAGCAGGCTACGGACTGACCGTGTTGCATAGGAGACTCCTGTGGTACTCGTAGGCACGAAGGTGGACCTAAGAGACGAGTGCGATATCCTGGATCAAACACTTGCTACACTCTCTGCTCGCTGGAGCGTTCCGATGTACAAGACGTCTTCGTTGAGTAACATGCACGTGAACGAACCCTTCGCAAACCTTGTGCGTCAGATGCGGCGTCAGGCTACTCTATCAAGCACTCATCTGCGTCAGTCCGGATGTATCATTCTATAGTCTATTGTGTTCTATCCCGCGTGCATCTGCTCTGACCTGCATACCATCTTCGTACTCCGCCATCTCCTGCATTTCTGTTGCTTTTTCCTTTCGACCCTACATCTATCCCTCGTTACCTTACATGCTGCCTCCTTGTTCTGCATATGCTTTGCTCCCGTTACCTTACTGTTTTCCTCGGCGTCCCAGACCTGTCCCGTCGCTCTTGCTTAGTTTGACTCCAATAGTTATACATATTCACATTGAATCAGACCGGATGCTCGTGGGCTTGCTGTGGTAAGCGATACTCACACAAATGTTCAACGTGCTATTGCATTGGAGGATAGACCTAGCTCAGATCGAAGAGGTCCACGGCATATGAATACGCTAAGGCTGAACGACCCCTGAGCCATGAGCCTCGGAGTGGCGTGATATAAAGGTCATTGATTTGGGAACAGGAGCCAGCAACCTGTACACAAGCCTCAGAAAGGAGCTTAGAACGCTGGGATGTGGTTTGAAGGGTTTGAGAACCATGTAACGTCTGAATCTACGCGTTGTGATTACACCGCAAGGCTCGTGATACATAGGTGTAGGAAAGGACGGATGCGAGTCGAAAAAGAGGATACGAGCCTGCAGTCAATGAAGTGCAGTTATGAAGGAATTCAGGCATGTGGTGGCCGATAAGACCGATGCGGTCGGACACACGTTGATAATGGGCGCGGATACGGCTTCCAGCCGGAAAGGAGTGGGGTGTATCAGGATCAGAGACTGCGACTCCGTTTGAGCTGTGGACCACTCGAACGCCCCATACTCACGACGCCGATGTCTCCGTCCGA